ATAATAATTATTATCATCCATAGTATTATATTTAGTCTATTTAGTATTTTGTGCCTGTTATATCACTGACACTAAACAGTAAACCCTGTCGGTTATTTTATGTTTTTTCTGTTATATTAATTATTACTTAATTTGTTTAAATAACGAAAAACAATGAAAATAATAAATGATTATTTTTCATCTGATTCAAATAAGAAGAAAAGCATTGATCAGAATGTGAATGAAAATTAATTTTCATAATTAAACGAAAAACCATCAAATGCAATCGACGCATTAAAGCTATGTAATTCAATTATTTTCCCGAGTATTCACATGTTATTAAAAATATTATGTACACTGCCAATATCAACAGCTACCCCAGAAAGAATGTTTTCAAATTTAAAAAGAGTGAAAACTTATTTGAGAAATACAATGAAAGAGGTAAATATTTTTATATTCTATTTTTACTCTAAACTTGAAAAAATATTATTTTCATAGGACAGATTGAATGGACTGACCATGTTGTCAATATATCGTGGAATGCCCTTAACAGCCGAAGAGGTTATTGATGAGTTGGGACGAAAACCAAGAAAATTAGAAATTATTTTATAAGTTTATAATTTATAATAAAATGCATTTTTTAAGAATCTTTGTCTTCTACTAGATAATATTTATTTTTTTTAGAGCTTTTATTATCAACTATTACAGCTCAGTACTAGGTAATATGTTTTTGTTTTTCTATGAAACCCCCCCCACTGAAAATTGCTGTGTACGCCACTGAGCCGCCCGAGGCAAATACACCCTGTAGCTCCCCCCTAAATACGGCCCCGTTCACACCCAAATTATATTTTCAAAGAATCTAAATTATTTTCAATTGTTTTACTTAATATATTTAATATCTGTAAAAAAATAATTATTTAATATATAGTAACAAATGAAAAATTGTTTGTAAAACAAAAATTCACTTTAATAGCGGAATATCATATTTAACAGCCAAATATAATAGTATACTTGCAACTATTACATACAGTCATTTCAATAAGACTACTGAAAAGACAACATAGACTTATTTTGAATAGTCATTTACCAACTTCAGTAAATAAAAGTTACTGTAAGTACAACCTAAATTTCTCTTAATACCTACACAATGTTTCAAAATCGAAACAATGAAGAATATATTTGTTTCACAATATATGGTATCTTTTAATATGAACAGATTTTTAAATATTTAATATAAATTATTGTTTTCATGGAAATTTCAAAATCATAATTCCCATTTTCTTCCACCAAGTGTAGCATTTGTATATTACTTTTATAAAAATAATCAACTAATTTTTTCTTTTAAAATAAAATAATATTGAGTTTCTAAAAAACAAGAAATATTTACGTTAGGTACCATTATCTCAAGATAAAATACTCAAAAGGCATTAATTCAAAATAAATTCTATCGAACTATGTTTGAAAACCTTTGTGAGTGCAATCATTTTCCATCAGTTTCTAAAAAATATAAATAAAATCATATTAAATACATGTATCCACATAATCTACATGAAATTCGATTTTGACAAGTAAACACTCAAAGTCAATTCACCAAATTACTATACCTAATTGAAAAACTTGTTAAATAAAAAATTTATATAAAACAGAAGATACTTAAAAGTTCTAATAAATTATAGATACTACACATAATTTGTTAATAATTTAAATTAGAATTGTGATAATGGATAAGAATTACAATGGGTACTTAATATTGTATTAAATTAGATGTATTTTTAGATAGATTAATTTTCTGTTAATTTATAAAAAATTTTATACCAGAATCCAAAGGAAAAACTGTTCAGTATATTAAAGATGCTCTAGTATAGCATGACTGAATAATTCTTAAGACTAAAGCAACTAAAAATACTACAAATGATTAACAATTTATGAAGAAATATTAACTGGCAATTTTTAAGCAAACCAAACCAAAAGTATTTAAATTGCTTTTAATGAAAATTAAACATGGTGGAAAAAAGGAAAATGACAAACTTAACTCAAAAATAGTCAATCATGATATTAAGTAAATACCGCTAAATATTTTTAATTAACATTATTTTATTTTATTAAATTTTAAAAGTACTTACAAATAATTAAATAAATACAGTCCAAAAATAAGTGCTAATCTTGGTAGGTATTAACCTTGGCCTTACAATCTTTATCCTTTGTAAAAAAAAATGTATAGTTCTGATTTATTTTTTTGTGGTAAAAATACACAATTTTAATTTTTAATCTCAAAGAAAGTATTAGGTCATGAATTATATACTTATGTTATACATAAAACCTAAATACTTACAAATTTCAATAATGATAGAATATTACCCACGGTTAATTCTTTAATGTAAAAAATACCATAAGAATAAATGTACTATTGTTTAAAAAAAAAACCATCAATTTATCATATAAACCAAAATAATTCATAAAAATTAACATTTTTACCATACTATGTTTTTATATATTATACAAAATTGTATTTACATAATAAAATTACAACTACCCATATTTTTCTGTGATTAGAAAAAAACATTTTATGAAAAATATAGTATACAATATAAATAGGCTAAAGTAGGCTAATTGAAATAATGAGGCTTGCACAGACAAAATAAAAAATTAACTATAAATAAAACAAAAAGTTACTGAAATCATAAGAATACATTTTATTTTCTTATTCAGTCAATATCATTAGAAGCATCTTCAGCACTATTCATATCAGACATATCAACATCTAGACTCTCAATTCCTTCTTCTCGAATTAAGTTATCCAATTCTTCTTTAGTATAATCTGTTGAATCTTCCATATCATTGTTACTTTTATTGGATGAATCTATTATACCTGCTTCCACAGCTAACTGAGTTAATGCTGATTCAGTACTAGCTGGTAAATCAGTAGAAAGTTTAACAGAAGATGGTACTTTCGAATTGATTCCAGATCTTGATGTAACAGGTGTATTCACAATATTGGTATTTTTTAGTTGAACAACATTACCGCCGGAATTTGAGGTCAAGATAGCCATGTTATTTTGACCACTAACCATTTGAAGAGTTACAGGCTTACCACCAATTGTCATCCCTGTTAAATTTGATTTGCCAAGAGTGACCATTTTACGATTACCAGCACCTGCCATAGTAATAGTTATAGGTTTACTACCAGTTGGAGTATTGCCTCCTGATGATACCATAACCATTTGAACTGGTGAGTTAGCAACACTGGTGCGATTAGTGATATTAGCTTGAGAAGCTGAGAAAGTCTGTATACCCCTGAGATTCGAACCAGTTGTTACAATTATTATTTGTGGGGATGCTGATCGGTTTGTGTTACCTTTTTGAATAACAATAGTTGGTTTATTAGCAGCAACTGGCAACCTTGCACCAACAGTTTTTAATGGTACAGTTTTCATAGTTTGATTTGTTTTCATAGGACTACTTTGTTGATTTATTGGAGGGTTAATAAACTTAAGAACAGACGGTTGCATATTCTTATTTGGTGTAGTCGTTCCTATCATTTTCCCAGGAATACCTTGTATAAGGTTACCTTGACTGGTCTTAACTAAAGTAACAAAATTTGACTGTGAACCACCTGGTTTTTGAAAAATTACTTGCTTTCCAAAAACATTAGACCCAGTCTTAAGAACAGTTCCAGCAACTGTACCAGTCTGTATGGCAGGTCCAGTTATGCGAACTGCTTGCTGTTGTGAAACTGTTGTGCTTACAGGAGACATTACATTTTTTATAGATCTTTGTGTCTGAACAATTTTAAATGGAGCACTTGAAGTCTTAATAACAGGTTTTGGAAGTTCTGATTGTTTAGAAACTACATTAGTGGTTTTGATCTTTTGGGTAGCTGATGCAGCAGCAGCTAGAGTATGCATAGCAGCATCTGACAGCATGTCCATAGAAGGTGAGGTGACAAATGCCGAAGTCTTTGGTGTAACAGGGCTAACTGTTTTGAAATTTTGTGGTAAGGATGGTGTTACATTAGTACTTTGAACAGTTTTTATTTTCATATTTCCAGATGCTTGAGCAGTGACAGGAGTAAACTGTTGATCTTTTATCAAAGACGAGGAGTTAACAGTGGAACCCTGGGGTAATATCTGTATCATTTGATTTGGTTTAGCTGGGCTTCCAGCTTTAGAATTAGCAGGTACAATTTGACAATCATCATTGTCTGTATTTTTTTTAGCTAATTCAGGGGTCAAAAAAGGTAATAATGAATAATCAATCATGGTTGGTGGAGTTGGAGCAGCTGTATCAGCTGGTTGATCATATTTTTGAATTTGCAAAATATATGCATCAGCTGTTGGTACACTGTTCCATACTATTTCTAAAGCATTTGTAGATGCTCGAACTAGTTGATTTTTAGCACATTTTTGAGGTTTATCTACTTCTAAGTACCATAAATCTTTACAACAAACTTGATTATTCCATGCTTTTCTATATCCATCCCTACCTGACCATACATACATTCTTGTCTGTATATTGGCAGCACAATGGCCAGCTCTAGCTCTTGGCATATTATCTTCATTCATGTCCATGTTTAAATCCTCCCACGTCATAGTTTCTAAATTTAAACAAGCCAGTTGATTAGTACATTTCCATTCTTTTTCATGGATAGGTAATTTCACTTCTTCAACAAATGGTACCCAACCACCAAAAACAAACATACGATTTTTTATTGTTACTGCAGTGTGCAAAGATCTTGGTAATGGTTTTGGACCTAAGACAATAGGCCTATTCCATGACATAGTATCAATGTCCAATGTCCATAGATCTCCTAATCGACAACCACTCATACCACCATAAATAATAAGTTTACATTTTCCTCTTGAGTCAGTATAAGCTACAGCTGTGTGGGATTCTCTGGGAGGTGGAAAATCCCCAACAGTTTCTGGTATATCCCAGGCTAAAGCTTCTGGTGAAGATATATCTAACGTATATAAATCATTTAAATAACGAGGTATATTATTTTTTGGGTCATTACTATCATTGGCTAACCCTCCAAATAAATAAACTTTATTCCCTATTAGGGTAAAGCTGTGACCAAGCCGTGGGCAAGGTGACATGTGATAAAGAGGAGGTCTAGGTTGAAGTTTACTCCAATGCCACCGACTCGCTTGTAATTCATAGAGTTCATTTGAATATTTTCCATACTCGACCATACCTCCAAAAATTAATAGTCTAGTATTATCAACTACTAAACCATATGCAGCACATCCTGGAGGTATATCACCAGAAGTCTGTGGTATAAACCATTGATTGTTGGCTGCATTATAAACATGAAGTTCATCGACAATTCCTTCATTTCCACCACCAAAAACAATTAAAAGATCTTTAATAGCAACTGCTCGATGCCCATGACGAGGTCTTGGTTGAGGTCCAATAGGATCAACTATTTTCTTCCATTTTAGTACTGGTGTTGATGGTACAATTTCTTGTTTAATCTCCATTTTATTTGTATGTTCAGTGTTCAACAACATTATTTTCTTTTCATATTCTGCAATAAAACAAAAATAAAAAAAATATTAAAAACTAACTAAAATTAATAATAATATTATATCATATTTAGAATTTTACTAATTAATAAATCAATTTGAACTGGAAACTTTGGGGACAATAGATTAATTTTCTAAAAAGTGAATACAAGTTTAATATTATGATACTTAAAGCTCGAATAATCTAAAACAAAGATGGTTTTTACTTACTTACCTTCAATTGTAGAAATAATGTGATATAATAGTTGAAAAATCATAAAAACCACTTTTTAATTTGTCTTATAAAAAATATAAATAAAATCCCAAAGTTTCCATTCAATTATAATTTAAAAATAATGGTACTGCATAATCAAAGAACAAAATTAAAAAATGTTAACATCCATGATAACAATGTATAAATAATTTTTTAACACAAAATTAAAATAAAACATTTTAGTAAACTAAATATGTGACAAGATAATCAGTATAAAATCAGTATTGGCATCTTTATCAATAATGACTACACTTTTTCTTAATTTAATAATGTATATAAAACTTATATACAAGCAATAAAACAAATCAATAATATTAAAATACTTATTTTACAATTCTAAATATGGTATGTATTATATACAATATTATGAAACCAAATTATTACAGATATATGTAATCTATTTATTATGTCAGGTATTAAACTTATTTTAAAATGACAAAATATTAGGAAATAATTATAAACTATGATAAAAGTTATACTAATTAGATATAAAATATTTAAAATTATTTATTAATTCATAATAAAATATATATTCCAATTCTAAAATTATATATATATTTTTTAACATATACTAATGATTATTTAATTCAAGATAAAATAATTGTATTTTTACAAATGTAGGTATTACAATTTAAAAATGATAGGTACATTAAATATGTTGAATTTACTATAAAGTTAACCTTTCGGCTTTTGGTGTTTTATTTCTTAAAATTAATAAATTAACTGTAAAGTTTATTGTACTAAAAAATATAAACTTGGATAATTAATTTAAATAAGATTTTTTTATACAAGAAGCTAATTTATTACAATCGAAGCAATAAACTTAACATAAATTGAAAATTCAGACACAATCATTTATTTTTTTAAAACTTTTAATATGTTTTTTGTAGTTTCTACATATCATTCACTTACATGAATGAATGTAATTAATAATATATATAGGTAGATACTACACTAGATGGTGATAACCATATAAGGATTAGAAAAAAAAAATTATAATTGTAGTTTATATATCCACTTTCAATTGCATAAATGTTAAATCAATAATAATACAGAAATGTTCAAATCATAAAAAACCAAATTGTAGGTAGGGTAATAGATGAATTTTAAAAAGAAAGAGAAATTATAAATAACTTGTTATATCAAAGATTATTAAATAATTAAAATAAATTTAAGATAATTAATATATAATTTACTTTTTTTAAATGGCATAAAAACCTAGCCAAATTAAAAACAAGTTCTTTATATGTCTTTTTAAAAGTTTTATTGACTTCAATCAATATTTTATAATATAAATACAACATAGATACATAGTTTAATATTCAAAATGACCACTGAAAAATAATAAGTTAATTAAATTAAGAATTTAAAATACTACTATGTATCAGCATAATACACATTTTATTACAATTGTAATGCACAAGCCTCAGGAATTGTTTTTTTTTTTTATAAATATAAAATTGTTTTACTATAATTTGATATTATAATGAATTTAATCCTTTAATGGAAAGTAAGTGGACTAGTATAGTACCCTCCTCTTTTCTCCTGAAAATTGTTCAATCTACACTCTTATCTACAATTGATTTAGTTAGTATTTTAATTAAAATTAAATCATATGAAAAATAATGAAATAATATATTATTAACTATTTTAATATAATTATATGAACTAATTAAAAAATATTAATGTAACAATAAAAATTATAATTATAAAAATAAACATTTTGTAAACATGATTAAAATTGAAATTAAAATAATTAAAATTTTAAAATAAAATCTTAAGGAAATTACTTACGTACATTATTTTATTATTGTTAAATATAATATTTTTATAAAAATGCTTTCCTTAATTTCTATTTAAGGAATTGTTCAGTAAATCTATCCCATGAAATAGATTCAAGTAATACATTTTCAATAATCAGAACAGCAAATTAATTAAATTGTTTTTTTATTTTAAAGAGAAGAACATAGTTTTTTACTCTGAATAGGATATTCTTTAGACAATTAGGGCCTATACAATTTTCTGTTTATATGCAGATGCCTTTCCTGCTGCCTTTAATCTAGCTTTGATCATAAATTTATGTATAAAAATGGGAATAAAACCTAAAAAATTGAAAACTTTTTTCAAAAAACAATTATTGAACAACTGAAATAATATTTTTGTTTATTTTAAATTAATTTTTCATCATAAAATACTGTTAAAATGTTATCTAATTACATGTATTAAAAACAGTGGATTCATTAAAACAGTAATAAATGTTACTTCCTACCAAAATACTAAAATAAAAAACCGTTAATAAAAACAATTTAAACAAACCTCAATAATCAGTTGATATCATCCAAAAGTAGAACATGGAATTATTTAGAACAAAAACAAATTTGATTGTTAATAATTTGCAAGTGCACAGACTATAAAATTGTCAATGTTTCCAGACATAATTGTGATAATAGGAGAACCAGTAGTGATTGAAACCATGACAGGTTTTCAATCGAGTTAAGTATTTCATGGTAATAAGACAGTGTAGCAATCTAGAACTAGCAATCTGACACTAATCGCCAGATATTATGGAGGACCACGATATTATTGGAAATATTATCTTTATCAAACAGAGTAGATAGCTGAGAGGCTTTTTGACCAACGCACATTGGCAGTCAGTCAACATAAGCTGAAATTTGTGTGCGAACGCAAAGGTTGCCTCTTACTGGTGGGTGGGGTGGGGTATGTGCGAAGGACACACGGGGCATTTTTTGGCACCGGGACCGGGGGGAAAGGTCGAGGACTAAAGGCGAGCGTTTTGCCACAAGGGGGCCCTTACGAAGGATCGGTCGAGAGACCCTTGGGAACCGACTTGGTCAGCGACGAGCCATGGCGCCAAAAACGCGTCTCGCTGCTTTCGGTTGTGCTTACCTCGTCTACGGTCAGTGGCATACAGATACGATACTCCTTAATCAGGACCATGTTGCGGCCGGTTTCTCCGCGGCTGCTGTTCTGACGTACTAGGCACTCGGGCGGCGGCTAGAGCTGCGGTGGCGGTGGTGTCGGCGATTCGATTGCGTAGGCCGAGTCGGCGACAAAGGACGACGTCGACGGTTGAACGGAACGAAACGCGAAGCAGCAACGAGCCGTTGAATCCGCCGGTTTGGGAATAATAATAAAAAAAAAAAAAAAAAAACAATAAAAACAGTAGATAATCTCGGATCAGCGAAAACGTAAATATACAAAACACGGCTGTCCGACCATATTATTATTTCCTTGGTGCACGGACGGTATGCCTACAACCGCGTCGGTGCAAGTGTTGGATGCACCGCGTACCGCGCAGATAGCGCAGATGGACGCCGGGTGGTAATGATTCCTCGTCATGGAACGTAAAAAGACTACAGTCCCCGATCGGAAAAGAGTCCGCACCGTCCAGCATTAGTTTTCCGTAGTCCTCAGATTATTTCCCGCGGTACTGTGTACATTTTCCGCGATCCTATAGCCGTTTTCCGCCGTCAACTAACCATTTGGACCGTGGCCTGTGGAGGAGAAAACGCTGACGGCTCACGTCTCGGATGGTTGGTATCGCTGCGGTCGGTTGCACGCGTGCCCCACACCGGGTTTCTGATCGCACCGAACGCCCACCGTGGTGCGGCCGCCCGTCCGCCGCTGCTTGTTATACGTGACGCGCGCAGGGCCGACAACCGTGCGCCGCGCGGTATATCGCAATGATGCCGTTGCCGCCGCCGCCGCCGCGAGCAGCTGTCGCTCGTTGACAAGACGCGACACGTTCCGCGTGACATAATACAAATGAAATTTATTTCTCGCGCGCATGCGCACACTTCGCAATCGGCGGATATGCAACGTTTTTTGCCCGCGCAAAAAAAAAAAAAAACAATGAATTGACGGAGCCACGCTGCCACGTACACGCGACATTCAAATGTCATGGTGTGGTTGGCAGTTTTCGCGGTTTCCCGTGCAGTGCTCTGGTTCCCCACACATGCGTTGATATCGTAAGCCCCTCATTAATTATTATTGAATACTAGATTGCTGTTAATTCATGTCTTGTTGAAATACCTTAAACATGGTCAACAAATCGATCCCATACACATGTACTTCTACTTCAATTCAAGAAATAATTAAGAAGTAATATCAATCTACCGTTACATAACACAAAATGATTAATACATAAATAAATAAACAAATTGTTTATGTATAGAAATAAATAAAAAAAATCTTAGTCTGGAGCAGAGGCGTATTTTAGGGAGGACGAAGGGGCGATAATTTCCCCCCTTGAATTCGTATTTAAGGAATCGATCATACGTGAGACACATTTCAAACTTTTAAAGTGGATCATTTTATAACGATACTTAATGTCTATACTTAATGAAAAATCAAATAAAACACAAGCGTAACTTTGAAAACACAGACAGGTGTTAAAAAAGAACTACACAAAAGTCGATTCTAAATGGATTCGGCATTAGTTTAAAAAAAAAAAAAAAACCACAAATATTAAGGATTCGCCTGATTTAAATAAATGTAGTCTTTCGAGTACCACTAGTGGTACGCGTATCACAGTTTGAGAACCGCTGGTCTGGAGCATTTTTATATTTGTAATGTACGGTCAATTTTGAATTAAAAATTCATCATCAGATAATTAGACTGAATATGAAAAAATAAAATCTTAACTGAATAAGAAAAACTAAAGAAAAGAATACATTGAAAAAAATTAGTTGTTTTACATATAGATAATTTATTTTAATAGGAGAGATTATTCAAAATAAGTTCTTACTAGACATAGATATGTTAAAAAATATAAATACTTTGGTTATTATTATTTAATATTATTCTGAAATGTATTGACATAAGATATTTGTTTTTAAATCAATATTTTATAGACTTCAACAGAGGTATTCCATTAATCAAATTTCATTATCGACACGAACTCAATATTATCTGTACTATAGTCCAGTAGCGCATTAAGGGGAAGTGGCAAAATGGACATTTTCCCCGAGTGGAAGTTTTTAAATAATGATATTATAAAAATGATGTTACCAAACATATCTAATTATATTTATTTAACATAATAATAAAAAAATAGGTGCTTATCTGTTTAATAATTTTATTTAACTTTTTTTAAATTTAATTTATTTCATAACTTGTTGTTATAATCGTTGTTAGTCTCTTGTAAATGGAAACATTTTTTTCGACTATATTAATTTTGTTCTATTTTTGATAAAAGAGGAACATGTGTCAATAGGGGTCTAGGACATTTCTCCGCGACCGCTTCTCCGCTGGACACTTCGCCATTTAAATTAAATGTACATAGTTTATTATAAAATATTTGGTAAAAAAATGAATTATATTTCGTAATAGAAAATATAAAAGTAAATGTTTTAAATTTTCGTGCTAACATTCCTTATGATAATATACCAGGCTGGTATTACCAGCTACAATTATCTACAAATGTACAAATCATAAATAATAAAAGCTATTTGATAAAAACATGTTAGATTTAAGGAAAACATATTCATTGGAACTAATATGCCACAGTAATAAATAAAAATAAAGTTATGTTTATTTAATTATTTATACACCATAATTTATTAAATACACCTACATGTTTTGTTAAGATAGGACTCAAAAGTATTGTAGGCACCCCCTGAAATATAGGTCTGCAGTATGCCTATGTTTTCTATTCAATTTATTTACCTTTCATCATATTGTTCATTGAAATTGAGTCTTGATATTTTCTGTACAGATAATTCTTGATTATGATGAGGCCACTTCATTTTTTTTAAGATATACACTCTATTTTGTTTCTTAAAAATATAACTTCTATTATCTCCTTCTGTCGATTATATAATTTAGTATAATATAACGTCCACTAAGTGAAACCACTGGTTTCATAAAATGGATATCACTTAATGAATGCATACATTTGGTGACAAGGACAGTTTTTATAATTTTTCATGATATATTATTGTTATAAATAAATGAATATTATAAATGTTTAATTTTTTTGCACATTTTATGAATTAATATTAAATAAAATAACATATTATTTTTTCTTTAATTTCAAATCTACTTAACATCAAGATATTGGTAACATCTGAATATAAACATACTCGTATATTTTACTGTAATATATGCAATGCTGTTGTGCATGAAAAAAATTATATTTCTACTTTTCTACTTTTTTTTATGATTTAAAAGAGAGAGGGTTCAACCCCTAAACCCTCCCTATGCTACGGCCCTGACCTACATTGACAACTGCGTCTCTTAGTTATTTTAGTACCTACCTCAGCAACACCAAGTGCAAAGTATGTTCTTTTTTATCTATTCATCAGAACGATCACCACCATAATAAAGTTTTCAGTATAATGAAAGTATTTTCGCTATTTAAAAATACAATTTTCTGTAAACTTTGAAGACTTTAGAAAAGTTTTTAATTTAGCCGAAATGTTTACTTTTAAAAAACTCACCCACCTGCTATATAACAGCACTTAAATGATTTTGAAAATAATTTCTTCTTATTACAATATGATGCAAAAATGAAAATAATTTACCATTCAAAATTTTGTATGTTCTGGGACTTTACTATCCGAAGAAAAAGAGAAACTCTTCATCTTTCAATACATAAAAATATTTTTATTGTTTATACATATAATACTTTTAGAATATTTTTAAAATGTTTATAAAGAATTATCATAATAGGCATGTTGAACATCGACACCATCAGGTATTAAACTGTATTAGTTACTAGGTAGTATTATCTATATTATTAAAATAATTCTTTATGAATTATACCTAACCTATAATTATCTAATAATGTTATATATATGTTAAAATCATTATGCAATATTTAATGAATAGTACAATTAAAAATGGTTTAATTTAAATGCATTATCATTTACCGTTTTTATGTCAAATTAGTCAATTTTAGTATAGATAGTATTTGAGTTAACTTCTAAGTAAAATTTGTGTTTTAGCAGCCTTTACATTAAAATAAATCAATTCTTGTACCCAAATATTATTAATCGTCAACTATACTAATATAACAGATTATAAATATTATATAATTTACCTTTTTTACTAGGAAAGTACACGAGTAAATCATCAAAACCACGTGAAGTTTATGAATAACGAACGATAAAGTACTTTCAATTTTGTAAGGTAGGAATCCTGCAATCAATGGTGTAGTAAAGTGTATATACGGGTATATGAATTGTCCATTGTTTGGATCGTGCGTATACCTATAATTTGTAATACGCTGGTATACAGGTATCTACACCCGGAACGTATTTATGGGGGTGGTGAGAGAGCCCGGGCCCCTTCAAAATTAAAAACACCATTGTTAAAGATTGTTATTTTTAACATGGTTATGTCTTAATGCTGGGGGTTTCCGAAAATTTGTCGCGACACTGAGAATGTTGCTTAAGCAATAATTTAAAATTTTATATTTATAAAATATGTTTATTCTTTTAAAAAAATATGTGATGAATTTTGAGTGACTCTAATAAAAAATTTGTTTAATACAATGTTATACTTTTAAAAAATAATAAATCATTAAAAAAATTGAGTTTCTTATTTCTCTGATGGTGTAAAGACAGTCGCGAAGTCTTATAGTGTTAAAGTAATTTTTTCGTAATAGTGGCTTCCTCATTCCTTTCCAACCAAAAATCAAATACATAATCGCCCCCCTTCGAAATGAAAACCCATATACGCCACTGATCTACATTATTTTATCTATACTATAAAATGTATAGCTATATACAAAATTTTGATTTTTTTCTACAAATATAAAAAATACCAAACATTTTTCCTTGTTATCAAGTTTATTAGGAACCATTACTTTTTTTAAATTGTACACATTTATTTTTAATTTGATTGCCCTGAAATTTAATTTAGTAATCCATTACTAAAAGTCTCTACAATAATCTTAAATTTAATTTTTTTAATTTTAAATTCGGATCTATATTTCGTTAGTTAATTTTATCGCTCAAGGACAAAAATAAAATGGTGAGGAGGATAGAAATTAACCTCACTTACCCTTTTTACTTACATTTGGCGTATACTCAAAACTCTTTTTTGGGAAATACCACTGGGCTATCTATATTTCTTGTTTAGTATTGTCAACGACATTAGGGATGGTATATCAAATGTAGTAAGTCACACAAAAAAAAATACAAACAAATGAATGTGAATAAATTATTGATCTTATTCAATTTTATTTTTTATTGATAAATTATTGTATTGAATACAATTTGAGTGTTCGACCAATGTAAATCTTAATCGATGTAATAGCTTCGTGAGCAAGTTTACTTTATCCAATACTACATATTCAATAAATAAATTACATAAATTGCGGGCGTATTAAAATTGTTTTAAAACAACATTTATACATGTATAAGTGATTCTTTATTTGATAAGGATGTTACATAAAATGGGGGCAAATTTAGAAACGGGTGCAAATTTAGTGCGTTATTTATAGGTAATTTCAATATCAACTGAATAAAGGGATAAAATAATTATATCCAGGGCTCAAGTTGAGGGAAGAGACACCACCAAACTGAGCACTCAGTTTAAACCTTTTTGTTTAAATATTGTGCACTAATTCATTAATGAAACACGGTCCCCCACGTTTTTTTTTTTTTTGTTAAAAAAAGAAATTATTTTTAAACTATTTTTTTAATAACACATAAATATAATTATATTTTAAAAATGTTTAATCTACTTTTAAAAAAGTAAACATAGACATGAAAAATAGTATAAAATTTTAAGTCAGTAAAAGTGTACGACATTTTTAAATATCCTAAAATTATAATATGTTATTAAATTTCAAATTTTTTTATCAAAGTTTATTATAATATTATATTAAATCTATTAAATATTAAATCTTACACTTATTATTATTGAATATAAGTATAAAATAATGAAAGGGCACTGTTTATCATTAAATAATTTTTTAACGTTTGGCAACAACTGTGATAGTGCGCATGAATAAAAGATAACGTAATAAATCAATAATGCCGGGTAAAATATAAATAATCAGAAATAGCGTTTTCATGTTTTATGGTTCATAAAAATGTACAGGCTTCCCTAAGAGGCGCGCCCTCCAGGTTGAGAAACATTGCTTTAAATGGTCCTGTTATAGCATAGAATATATATTTTAACAGATTAAAGATTTTGGAACCACTACTGCAACCCAGTGGCTCCGAACTCGAGGTTCAAGTTTGGTCAGACTATTTTTTTAGATTGATGGGTGGTACCGTGGTGGATTAGAATACGAGTAATAAGTGAATTAATTAATTAACTATAAATTATAATACTACCAATTTAATAATTACGTATAAGTATTTAAATGCTATCAAAAATACTAAAATAAATTAAACATTTTTGGGAAGGGGTGGACTCCTAACCATAAGCGTGTGTGAGAGATATACAGGATATACAACTGCATACCTAAAACGTAGAGACTTGTTTCTAAAAATACAAAAAATAAATAAAAATTACAACGTATTTGTTCATATGTATATTATGTAATTTCTTATTACATTATAATTTTTATCATATTTTTATATTCAGTCTCAGACATTTTAATTAATTTTTGAAACACAAATCATATACTATAATAATGATTAAATGAAATTAAGAAGTACAATGATTCAAGAGATATAAAATAGCTTTCAACTACAGAACAAGAAATGGCTATAAATTAAAATCCCGAAGACATTATTGATGATATTAAAAACTCAACTGAACGCAGAATCGTTTTATGATTAATCGTGATTATTTATTTACCCTATTTAAATACATTAATCAAAAAAATTTCAAGAATTATGTATTTAATTTTTTTTTTTTAATTTTTTTTCAAATTTTAATTATGAAAACAATCATAACAATTAAAAATTGGCTATTCTGTTACTTTTTTTCAGGAAAAAAATTTAAATTTAAAATTAAACAATTATTTAGATGTTTACGTAAGTATTTTAAACAGAATTTTGAACATTTTAAGTTAACTTTCAGTGGTGGTGGGGGTAGCCAGCGGCAGCCTTTCACATACCCTGAAAAAATGGTCTGCGTACGTCTATGTTCTCAGCCCCTTAAAGTACGTTCTTGAGTGGGGTGGATTGTAAGTTATAAATTGGATGGCTATTGACCAGACAATTTAAAATTTTATTTGACTCTACTACTGCCCACTGTGCAATATTTGGTCATATAAAAGTGTCAGAGAGGTTTCAAATCAACTTGTAACTTCGCGTTTATTGTAACTTTTACGTTGCACCAATTTTGAGGTAACTGCCGTTCAAATTTGATAACGTTTCTTATGAGTTGTTTTAACGTTTAGAATACATATTTTATAATATTGTAACAACATCTTTGAAATATTATAAATAAAACATTCTATAAATATATATTTTACATTTAGTAGATGTTACAGAGATGTTATTAATGAACAGACCAATTGTAGTAAAACGAGAAAAAAATTATAAAAATTATCAGTACGAGTAGGGATTCCAACCCCATCGACTGCAAACCGACTCGATTATCGTCAACGAAGGCCACAGCGGATCAGCTTGTCGGCAAAGGACCACACGGACGGTTGCGCACCGACCACCATGGACAAGCCACCGCCTTCGGACAGTAGCGTCATTTGAGAGGGGGCAAATCGTGTATTTGCCACAGCCTAGAGCTTAGCTATTCCAAAGTCGACAAATCATTAAAATGTAAATACGTGTTTTATAAAACAACATGTTATAAATCAGAAAAATGAAAAGCGTACTACATTTGCATACGGGTATTTATGTAAAAAACTACATATCATTAAATTGTTGGACTGGTTTTCACGTCCCTTTCCCCCTCTCCTCCCGTCAATTGGAAGTGTTCTAGTGAATGACCGACTGCCCTACGCTAGAAAACACTGAAATTATGCCACTGCACCGGCGCAAGCCGAACATGATGAACGCCGCGGGTGAGTAACATGTAGCGGCCCCGAACGTGCATCGCCGCGTACGCTGTCGGAGACGCCGTGCTTGTACACATACAGCGATAGGACGACGGCCATGGGCGCCCGGAGAGGGGGGAAATAGGGAGCATTTTACCCCCCTGCAATTCAATAGAATGTTGAATATTTTAACTTTTATTTTGATTTATCAACATTTTATCGATATTTTTACTTTAGCGTGTGCCGTGTGGTGTTGTTGATCGTAATAACAATATATTATAAGGCGTACCTACAAAATAATGCATATTACATTAATCGCGCAAAATTAAATACGTTTCAATTCTGTGAATTGATATTAACCGCCTAGTGTGTAAACCACTTATGACGATCGACGCACCACGAACACATAGCTTCAGTTTTTATTTAACTAATTTTTTAGGTTATAAGGAATATATTTTTTAATGTTCTTTTTGGTGTTAGATTTCATATAATTCTAACACAATTTGTAGTTTACAAGGAATAAACTTTTTTTAATGTATTTTTTTTTTGTGTTTGATTTCATTATGCCCCCCCCCCCTAATAAATTTCCTGCGGGCGCCCATGGCGACGGCCGTACAGCGATCGGCAGCACAGCGTCCATGGTGCAGCGACAGCTGGTCCGGGACGACCGCATAATTGCAATGCACACATGCACGTGATCCCGATGGTACGCGACCGTTGTGTGCAACATTGTGGGTACGAGGAACAGCAGCGCCTCGTTCGTGTCGACGTGTTCGACGAATAAACAGCCACAGTGACGACGAGTCGCCCTGAAGTTTTCGAACGAACGTTTCCTTCAGTCCGATCGATCGCCCTAAGACGGCTATGGCGACAGGCACGTCGAATATAATATAATAATATTGTATACACAATTAATATTCATTAAAATAGTAGTTTGCATGATCTGTATGATATGATGACGCCGCGTACGTCTGCAAATCTGAATATTTCCAAAAATAATGCAATGCACGTCGCTATATCAGCTTGCTTTACTAAACGATTTATTATTTTTATTATACAATATGGAAAAATACGTTCGATGCACCATCGCTCTTTATTAATATACATATTCATGCAATCGGTTATTGTGATTATCGAGTGACATGTCGTACTAGGTCATACGGAAACGTATTATGACAAGGTAATAACGTATTATAATAATGTCCATGCGCGTTACACTGTGTAATTTGGTCGGCACTTATTAGAATAGGTTGAACCGCATAATTTTCATTCATAACGATACACCTACACCTACCGTCCGTGCTCATGATAATAATATATAATGTACCGTTGTACACGTGTGTATTCAATCGTCATTAATCGCCATAGTTTTTAGTAATGAATTATTCTAATCGGAGTTTTGAAATTGAATTAATATCACTAAATATGTGAGTGCCGTTCCGATAATCTGAAAACATCATTGTTATCAAAAATATAACTTAAATAAGTTCATACAATTTCTAAAGTATGGTTATGGGTTTGAATTTGAAAGTATAAATAAATAACTATAGTTAAACACGACAAAAATGAATTTAAATCCAGAAAATAGTGAAAAATAAATGGTAGGCGTTTTTACTAAGTAAAAAGAGTTTTGAATTAAAATAAATTTATAGTTTTAATAATTAAAGAAAATTGTATTTTATTAAAGATTAAGATAAACTATGTGACATATATACTTTGTGTGTATTATATATACTCGTATATTCGTTATAAATATATGCTAGAACCTAATGCATTAACTGGATCACATATATATAATTGATCAAAAAACAATTTTAAATATTTACCGTGGTAATAGAAGAACGATGTAAATTTACTATTCCGCAAGCTGAAAAATTTATTGCATACTTTTGCGATTGAAGGGCGAATATTTCAAACTGAAAAATAAAATAATATTCTCCGAAAATCAATTGAACATTTATTTATTTTAAAATTGAACGGTAACATTTTAGTATACAAGGCGTTGTGGATATACTCGTACAGTATTAGTTAAATTAAACTTAAATATAAATAAATATATAAATTATATATATGTACATATATAATAGTTAACAGATTACAGTTATATAGTGTTAAATTCATACGATTGAATTTCTAATTATACAATTGATATACTATCAATTATAAGTATCAGAATTAAACTAATGCCAGAATTAAAAATAAATAAATTGATTGATTATTAAATTACAAAAAACATTTATCTAATTATCTAAATTCTCATTTTAAGTAAAAATTTATAGAACTTAACTGTATTATTCATGAAATATTTTGAACGCTCTGAATGGACTTACTACTTGTACTATTCGAATATATTATGAGTAACTAAACTTGGTCAATTTTCAAATTACCTGTTTCATATCATCTGGTTCCAATTTGATAGTCAGATATTTACATATGATCACAGCAGTTTCTTCGCCCTGTAAAAAACACATGCCACTGATTCGTTTAATTATTCCTTTTGAATTGAATATTTTTAACCAACTTTTGCAGTAGCATAAGATGTAGGTAATACGATTAATAACAAATGACTCAAATGAGTCAATACCCAGATCACTTGCAACATTATAAATTTAATATCTGTAGAACCATAAATCACCGGGTAAAATAAATCCATTATCATAAAATACGGAGTAACTATTAGTTGCACGCAATTACAGAATAGCTGCAAAAATAATTGCCATCCAAATGTGTCGTTGACCATTTTTATACTATTGCAAAGACTCCAGTGAAGCTCTTGTAGGTTGGATATCGAAATATTTTTCATATCTATGTTAAACAAAAATTAAACACGCTTAACTGTATTTTCAGCACTACACCAGCTTATTAGAAAATATTGAATTATTGTCATTTTATGTTTCAAAATACGAATGTATTATGTACACATCAATGTTCAATATGAAATCAATAAGTAATAAAAATATATATAAAGCACCCTTTGAACAAAAAAAAAAAAAAAACAATGGTCAAAATTGTAAGTAAATACACGGTAAGGTGCAAAGTCATTTAACCTAACCGAAGTTTTTTAAATTTGAAATATTTGTAACTAAAATACAGAATTAGTAAACTCAAATCGACTACAACTAGGAACTTCATTCGAAGATGAGAGGGAGGAATAAGTATTCGTTTTAAACCCATTAGAGTAAAAAAAATGTGGATAACATAAATATAAACCAAATGATTTCTGTTATCATACAGTGGTGACATGAAGTTTGTTTTTTAATGAAGCAATTACATTTATCGAGTGTCTACCAAAGGTCAAATTTTTAGATTCAGAGTTCAATTGTACTTTTAGGTACATAAATATAAAAATTAACATATCCAAACAAAATAATATATAATAATATTTTATATCAAATATGCAAATTATGTATTAAAATTTTAGTCAAATAACACTACTTACTTACTTTACTTTAGTCATGAAGCAGTTGCTTCAATAAAACCCACATTTTACCGCTACTGTACTAATTTCCGTCTATAATATCTTGTCGATTTTTTGCAAAATATGGTTCATGTTGTGTATATGAGTATATATATATTATTTCAATAATAATAATAACTCAGATATATAGCAAGGTGGAGTCATCTTAAAAAACGAATTTAATAAAACTTTGAAGTTAATGAAAACATGTAAAGCAACCGGTATAGATGACATAGCAATGGAACTAATCCAAAATGTGAGTACAGAATTACAAGACAAGCTATTTAAATTAGTGAATGATATATACAATACGGGAGAGATCCTAAAAGATTTCGAGGAGAGTTTTATAATACATATACCTAAAAAAGGCTAATGAATGAAATTAATTCAGAACTTTAAGTTTAATGGCACACACAGCCAAAATCCTAATAAAAATAATATGCACCCGAATTGAGAATATAGTAGAAAAAGAGTTAAGTGGTGATCAATTCGGATTCACAATATAGAAAAAAAGATAGCTTTTGTGTATATCTCTTTTAATATTTTGAAATTTGAGTGATAGATATTCTATTCAGCTTTGCTTACTTTGACTATTATTTTTAAATACATTTTTTATGAAATAAAAATAAAAAAACAAAAATAAGAAAAATCCACAAATGTATCGGTAGAACTCAGAAACTTTTATTGTACGATTATAACATTATCAACATAAAATAAATTAGTAATCCTATATTGGATTTCCTTTTGGACATTTTGTAATTTTGTTTTTAATTAATATATAGTAAATAAAAATAATTATAAAGATCTATGTACCATAGGTTATCATAACAAATCAGTGGTTTTAATATTAATGTGATCTTACATGCGAGCAATGATGGATTAATATTTATAAAATTATTATATAAGATATTGAAAAAATAAAAAGCTAAAACCTATCTATGGAAAATTGTCTACAAAACAAAAAAATTCGATTTAATCGGCTGCGTAGTTTCTGAGATAAGTAATTTCAAAGAAAGTAGTTTCATGTTTCTATAATTAGATTTTGCTTGAAACAATAATATTATAAACATATAATAGACGAAAAAAACAAGTCAGCGCAAATTGTATGATGGCGACCAACCATTCACCTAAAGGCTAAAACACAATGCGTATTATAATTACCATAATCAGCCAAGGGCGTATTTAAGGGTAGGGCTAAGGGGGCATTCGCTACCCATGTCTCGTATTTTTTTTTGAATATAATACATTAATTTATTTAAAAAATGTAATGTATAAGTAATTAAGAATATAAATTACTAATCTATCATTATAATATGTTATCATTACGACAGGAACCTGTGTTGTAGGTAATGAACAGCAAATTATTTTTAAGTTTGTATTGAAGAAAAATTAGTTTTGCCCTCCCCCAATAGGCGCAACTAGGAGGTACCTCCAAGCTCTAATTTAGCACCCCCAATTAAAAAAATAGTAATTGAAAAATGGTGTGAAAAAATAGCGTTTCTTTATTTCATGTAGTTTATATAGTTTTATTTGATGTTTTTATCAGAAAGATGAATTGTTCATGACTATTAGTTAATTACATCGTCAGAAATACTTGAAAAATATTCCACTAGTCATCTTAAGATAATACTAGAGTAAATATTATATGCTGTATATCAGAGGCGGCTAAACTTTTTTCGGCCACGATATACTAAAAATATACTTTACCTTTAAAGATTGACTTTCTTGGAAAATTTTTTTATAAACCAGAATAAAAGATAAAAACTATACAGATAAAACTTATCGACAATTTGTTCATAACCACCACGATTAATTTTCGTGCACGTAGCCTAAAAGTAAATTCTAACATGTCGACTCTGAAATCGTCCGCGATCGACCGTTTGACCACCCCTGCTGTATATTGTATAATATTTTTTTTAATTTGGGTATTTCTTAGTATTCCATAGCCTAAATAAAATATAATATAATGAAATAAATAGGTATATTACAATTTATGCTTGTTAATATTTACAAATAAAAATATTAGCGTATGTGTGTGGTTGTGGTAAATTTAATGATTACATTGAGATATGATACTTGGGATTAGTATGAGCTACGTAAATTCAGCACCCCCAATATTTGGGTTCTAGTTGAGCCTATGCCCCTCCATAGTCTCAACTCAAATACGCCTATGTAATCAGCGGCGACAAGATGCGGGTTTTATTGAAGCAGCTGCTTCATGACTTCAATGGGGTGGATTGATGGTGTTGTGTGACAGGCAACTTTAAAGAAACGTTAAATCATTATTTTTTTAAAAAATACAATTCTAAGCGGAACTGAAGTGTAATATATTTTACTAATTTTAGTCAAATTTTCATTGTTTTTAATGAAAATACTTAAAAAAAAAATTTCAGAATCAAGTAAAAATGTTTCTTCGACCAAAAGTTTTGCTACATATTTGTAGCACAATGTTTTCATACATTGGTATTTGTTTCCATAAATACAAATCGAGAAATCGTCTTGCCACCAGTATAACAATAATATCGAATCAATGCCTCTGCACTCTTACTCATATCGTGGCTGTCGGCTGGGCCCGGAGTACTGATCACGGTGGACACGAAAATGGTGTTTCTAGCGAATTTCCGCACGCGCAGTGGCATACGATGGCCTCGGTGGGCCGCAGTCATGTTATGCTTGAAGCCCAACAGTTTCACCTCAACCTCCGCGTTGATGTCCTCGAACCGGCGCCCGATGTTCCACGCGATCTGTGCGTACATGAGCATCGCAGCCAAGTCGATGGATAAGTACACGTAGCTGACGCCGTACAGCCAGCTAATCGAGCTGAGCGCGTACCACATACGTCCGTCAACCACGCACAAAACCACGTGCACAGTGATCAGCGCGAGCGAGTACCGCGCCACCGGCTGACCGGGACACGTGGCCAGCGCGGCGTCCACGCGTTTTAGCTGCCGCTCGATGGCCAGAAGTGTGCGATGCCGGGCTGCCGAGGAGATCACGGCCATCGCGCACGTAATGAACTCCAGCGAAATCTGTAACACCGTAACCACAGCCGACGAGGTGTTCTGCATGCGCAGCGATCGACCCCCCTTGGCCGCCTGGAGGTCGTCCGACACCGCGGCCAAGCCGCACACCAGGCACGCGCATAGCACGCTCAAATTGAACGTGTACCACACAGCGTTGAACGTGTACTCGTCACCCCTGCCGCCACCGCCGCCTCGATTCCGCACCACCGGAGCGATGAGCAGACACTGCCACAGTTTCAGCAGAACTCTCGAACAACCGTACATAACACGACAGCACGCGCCGTAAGCTTATAAAATGTATTATGTTGCTCGCGTGCGTGTCGTGGGCTACAAATGTGTAAGTACGACGGATGTTTATACAGTCATTCTAGCGATTGCACGCGTGTTCGTTTTAACATCACACTTAATATTCATTTCAAAAACAATATATTCCACGAAGTCACGTCGGACATCAAGGAAAAATAACGTTGTACATCATAGTTCCATCATGTTATGCACTCGATTCTGTCACGATTGTGCGTCACATGACACGAGGTTACAAGGCGCACAATGTGCACACAATCGTTGTTCAAACAACACTTATTCTATTCACCTTTGACGGGTGTACAGGTTTCGATATCCATGTATGGGTTGTGACGGACAATACTGCGGCGTGCGCGCATTTTTCTTATTATTTTAGTAGGTATTTTAGAAATCATAACAACCGACAATATTTTCGCAATTTTGTAAGAAAAATCGGTACCTTCATTAATAATTAATGATAACATGATTTCGACAGTAAAACTGTACTTGATTTTTCTTTTAAAATAAAATAAAATAAAATAATACTCAAAGTCTTTAACAGTAGCCAACAAATAGATAATATTTTTATTGTGACTTCGACAACGGTATCCTGACAGTGGACTTTGTTGAAGTTAGACATAATTCCTTATTGTTTTTGTAGGTTATTTTTATTATACTTTTATACGGTATACTATATAATAGTAGGCTAGTAGCGTCAACTGTCATGGCGTTGTATTATGTTATAGTTTTTAGATATTTTGCAAGTGTAATTTTCTTTTTAATAAATAATTATGTTTTCTTTTAATAATAAATTAATAGCTTTAATAAATCAATAGACTTGAAGTTGATCACATTTATTTGCTGACGGAAATTTTATAGACAAGAAAAGCAAAGCGGCTTCTTACGGTTTATTATCCACTTATAAATATACTATACAAGTAGCATTCGATGATGTAATAATACCTTTTAAACGCTATTCGACCGTTTTCACTACTGGCTCTACTTACTCTGCATAGCCGCATAGGTTTTCAAGTTTGAAAAATTAAATTGAGATTTTACAGTTGTTTTCGTAAACATTGAATTTACATGCAGTATGCATATGGGTTTAGTTTTTTTTTCTTACAAATATTGAAAATATTCTCACGTTAGTGAGTGAAATCCAAAACCTATACCTACTGTTTTTTGTAAATCAATAATACCTACACCATGAAATATATCGGCATTTATAACAGATAAATAATTTAATAAAACATAAACATAAAAAGCAAGTCCATAAATCTGGATACTTTTGCAAATCCGGATTTGAATATCCAGAAATTCGGAAAATTCAGATCTTTGGATTATATGCCCATCCCTAGTTCAAATCGTCTCACAACAAGAAACCATCATCCCGCACCAACAGAAATCAAATCAACAAAATATATCCAAATGCATCGTCAAACGAGATCCAAGAAGTTTATGCTCAACCTTGGCATAAATATTATGCTGAAGCTGTTACTTCTGATAATTTTTCACTAGATATTGTATGAAATACGACAATTTATCACATTTATAACAAATATTACAAATTATTTCTAATTTAAACTTTGTAATTGGTTCATTAATACCCCTCCTAACCAAGAGCTTATTTTAGGGGGGGGGTGAAGGAGCGATCGCCCCCCTGGATCCGAATTTAAAGAATCGATTAGATTAGATGTGAGTTACACATTTCAATTTTTTTTTTAATGTGGATCATTTTATAACGAAATCAAATTACGCGTGGCTGTGAATACTGAATTATGCTTTTTCTCGGGTCCATACTTAGTGAAAAATCAAATAAACACAAGCGTAACGTTCAAAACACAGACAGGTGTTAAAAAAAAACTACACAAAAGTAAATTCTAAGTGGATCCAGCATTAGATTAAAAAAGAACTACAAATATTAAGGATTCACCAGATTTAAATATTACCAAAAATGTTACTTGTAAATGTTGGGCATGAATTAAAGAAAAATTTGAGTTGCTCCCCCTTAGAAGTAAGTGTAAATACTGATTCTAACCCCAATGTTTTACACAAAAGTTTATCTCCCTCCATTGATAATAATATTTCATTCATTATCCAACAATTGTTCATAATATTATATATATTATTGTGCAAACAAGCTAAAATCATAATATATTATTAAGTAATATTATTCGCCTAATTACGTACCTATATATGTTATTTAATTGTCGAACTATTGTTTTGTAATGAAAGCTGTATAAATAAAAATTAAAACAAAGCAAATAAAAATTATGTGAATCGTATTAAACCATATTCCAAATGTATTTCATTATATCATATCATATTATCTTCAGTTTATTGTCTTCAACTGACGATATCGCCTCGACATGAAAATGGTTAATAGGAAATACGACCGTTGCCGCAGTCGACGTCAACGCTGAACATACGCAATGAGAGAGCTAAGACACTTGGACTAAAGGCCAAATATTTCTATCATTATAAAAATTTGATGTATTTTTTATATCTTCCAATGGACCAATCTATTGGTCAATCAATTACAGCAACAGTATAAATAGTTAGATGAGTTTGATTTTGCGTTCCTACTTTTATTGAAGAATCTTTAAATGAGGTAAGTTAAGATAGTATGCTAATTTCAGATTTTGTTTATTTAATAATCAAATATTGAGATTTTAAATATCTGTTCAATTTATAAAGTAGGTACAATCGTCGCCGCTTATTCATTTTGGAACCTGACCATTGAAGTCCATTAACCGAATAAGTCAATAAGGCGAATGACCAAAAACATTTAAAAAAATGCTTAAAATTAAAAACTTATTTAATTAAAAAATATTTATTGAGATTCAAGGTATGTACAAAAACAAAAATCTAGCTACGCTACTAAAAATAAAATAATATGTATGTAAAATCTAATTCATTTTTTGATAAAAATCTACCCAGGGTTGATAGGATTTTCCCTTCTTCAGCCATCTTCATAATCATATCTTCCTAGGATTTATGTTGCTTGATTACGTCAAAATCGCTTCTTTGCTGAATCCCTCTACGTATAATTTGAAGCCCTTCTAGCATTTGTTTAGTTGATGGTGGTTTCTCATAAGATTCCTTTTCGCAGTGGCGTAATTGTGGGGGGGCAAGTACCCCCTCTGACCATTTATTGAGAGATAAAGGTATAATTTTGCCCCCCCCCCCCCAGATAATCCAACAGTACAAATAGCACCTTTTATTAATGAACTCTTATGGATATTATTTAACAATATTGGTTACTAGTACATGCTACCTACAATTTATGTTTATCTAAACCATAAAATGAGTTAAAAGACTTATGTAAAATCAAACAATTCGATATAGTGTATAAAATACATACAATAAAAATATGTTTTAACTGGTGCGGGGGAGGGGTGTCAGGGTTTTAGTAATAATAAATATATTATATTGCCCCCCCCCCCCCCTAGGTTTTTTCTCAGTTACGCCACTGCCTTTTCGTCACTACTACTAGTCACATTATATTTTGGCCGTTTTGACTATATTGCACCACGTATCGACGTACCCAACGAAGAGTGTATAAAAAGAGTGTAAAAATCACTTTTACAAAATGTTCAGGAAATACAATATAAACATTCAAAAATAAAATCGTATTCTGGTTTTCAAAAATTTTAAATCTAATAACTATTTTTGTAATCTTTCAGGTTTTTTCTTAAAATCCACTTATTCTATTTTCAGCTAACTCTACTTGTTGTATATAACTCTTTTTGTGTGCAAAAGGATCTTTAGTTGCTGAAATTCATCGAAAGTTATGTCTAATTTATAGACCTACTATAATGAGTGAAAGAAATATTAGACAATGGTGTCATGGTTTCAAAAATGGACGAATAAATGTTCATAACGATGAGCGGAGTGGTAAGCCAGGTATGCAAAGTGATGAAATTGCTTCTCTTGTTGACCAAAAAGAAAAAATTCAAGATTTTCTTGGGACCTTTTTAACCACCCACCGTACAGTCCCGATTTTGCACCTAGTGAATACTTCTTTTTCTTACATTTCAACTGACTATTTTACGGACAAAAATGTATTCAGTGTGCGCACTCAATTCGTACCTTCTGTATTCGTACGATACAAATTCGAATCCAATGTCAGCGCGGCCTTATACACTATAGGTACAGCTAAATGTCCGAACAACTTGCAATCAGCCTGCGCCCTCGCATAGTATTTGGTAGGTCAGTATCGTTCTTGCGTGTACGTATCAAATTATTCGTATAAGTCAAGCTCATACGAAAATGCATCTAATATGCATGCGGCCTAACATATTATAATGAAGTCAAAAAAATGTTTTTAAATTTTACATTATGGAGTATATTATTGATTGAGAAATATAACTTACTATGAATAATGAATCAAAACAAATAATAAATATATTACATGAATTAATATAATAATATAATATAATCAACAACACAAAAGACAAAAATGACTTAACTTCTGACTAGCTACACTTAATCGCTTTTTATTTGTTGAAAAGTGTTGAAATAAATATTTTTAAAAATAACTGAATGTTTTTCAAAAACTGAGTGTAAATAGGATTGTATGTATATATGCAAATAATACAATTGTATAATAGGAGTATAACAAAATAATAATATAAACAGTAATAATAAATAACTAAATGTATAACATGTAATATAAAATACGATTAAAGTATAAATAGTTTTAAAATAACTTGCAGAGAAGCATAGTGTTGTCCACAGGAATAAATCTTCTATGTGATAAAATGCTACTTTTCTATAGAGACAAAAGAGTTATTTATCTATCTATCTCCACACGACACTAACCTATACACAAACGATAATACCTCCAATGTGACTGCCAATCATAATTTTATAATTATTAACATAATTAACATTTATGGAATACCTCCAATGTGAATACTTAAGCTACGACGTTTTACAACAATTTATAAATACTTCCTATGTGAATAAAATTATGATTGGCAGTCACATTGGAGGTATTATCGTTTGTGTATAGGTTAGTGTCGTGTGGAGATAGATAACTAACTAGATAAATAATTCTTTTGTCTCTATAGAAAAGTAGCATTTTATCACATAGGAGATTTATTCCCGCGGACGACGATAGGATAAACATCATAATAAGCTTGCCAATATTACACTAGGTTTATTAGTTTAAATGAATTTAAGTCTTACTCAATAATATAAATGCACAAAAAATGATTAATACACAAATAATTTTTTTAAATATCAAAATAAAGATGAATTACTTAAAATAATTAACATATTTTCTATAAATCAAAATATGTAACATTATTTAGAAATTTTAAAAAGTGATTTAAATTTAATAATTAGAATAATAATTGGCCGGACATTATATATATAAAATATAATATATAATAACATTCCACATAAATAAAACACAACCATTGTTAATTGTTATTTAAATTAAACAAATTTAGTTGATAATCGGCGAGGTGATTGTTAAACACTGTAAAGTTAATTACCCGATATGGTAATTTATATTACAAGTATTTAAATCAAAACTTTTATCGGGGTAAAAAAATATACCTAAAATCAAAACTCTTTTTAGATTTATTAATCTATTTTAGTAGATCACTTATTTTTTTATCATTCGATTTTTCATACATTTTTATTGGGCCACAGAGTTAAATATAATTAAGCAAAACAAATTTTAATCTATATATCTGTTATTTTTCGGTCAATGACAATTGTAAAATCTTTTCTAACATTTCTTCTTCCATTTGTACCTGTAATTCAGCCTGTCGTTTTTCTTCCATAGATAATCTCAATACCGCTTTAAGATCATCATCAGCATCATCAGTTGTTGCATCATCTACTAAGTTTGGAGCATCAGTTTGTGAAACCGCAGGCATAAATGCACACTCAGTCAAACTTGCATGGATTGCTCTACAAGGAAATCAACTAAATGTTCATAAAAGCCAAGCAAAGGTATCATATTATACCATATTAGGATTTGAGGAAATAATTAATTTAGAGAATATTTAACAACTTGATAAAAATAGATTAGTGGGATTAAATTAAATAATTAAGCATTTTAAAGTCCTCTTTTTTTAAATGGTAACCTGTTTAAATATATTTTTATTTAGAAAAACATATGTTAAAAATTATTTTTATTATTTTACCTTTGTAATTCTTCATCAGCTGGATTAAAATACAGGTCATTGGGAGTATTCGGCCTTTGAACTTGTAATGCTTCCCAAATATCTACCTGTTCATATAATGATACGTAACATTATTTTCTAAATTTTAAGAACTAAAAATAATTATGATAACAGATAACCTGATCTTCTTCAGCTCCAGTTTCTAACAAACTCTGCCGAACAGCAAACTGAAGCAGTTCTTCATCATTGTCCATACCAATTTGACGTCTTTGTTCAGCACCTAAAATATGTAAAAATGTAATAAATACAAATGTACATAATTTAAGTTAAATTAATTATATTTTACCAAGAACTACATAGTTTCTAGGAGGGACAAATACAGAATCTTCAACAACACAAAACATTTTTCCATTTGAATCTAATGTTTGAACACCTTCTATAGCTTTATCTGTCCCAAATAAGTTGCCAAAAGTAATTTGGGCATTGGAAATATGATACAATGGAATTTCTATAACACAATAAGCAAATGAGTATGTAATATATATGAATTATAATAATCTTATACCAATTTTCACAGGAAATCCTGATGGAAGCTGCATTTCAATAAAATCCTTAAGTTTAGCAAAATGAGAACTTGTAATAGCCATTAAATCAACAATTGGCATGATTTGTTCTTTTAAACTAAGAGGGTAATCTTCACAAAGCCATAAATTGGCCTAAAAATAGTTGGAGTCATGATTTTATATTAGGTCCTATATGTTACACTTACCTTGATCTTTGTAACTTTTGTAGTTTGCTCAATTGGTTTTCGTATATATTTACCTCTAATATCAATAAATTCATCAAAATATTCAGCCATAGTAACTTCAAGTTCTGGTTTAATTGGCTAAAAAGAAAACAATATTAATATAAGTTAATTAAATATTAAATTTTAATTTAAACATACACATTTCTCTTCACTTGAGCCTAAAATTGATTGTATAGGATTTTTTGTATTAATTAATTTAGTTTTTTCTGTTTCATTCATATGCTCTGTTCTTGACTTAGTAACAAATTCCACATTACTTGCATTAAAAACTTTACAGCTATAATCATTAATTATTTCTGATTTATCTTGCCGCCATCCCCAAATACCACTTTTATTTCTATAATAAGAATTTAAAATTTTTATTCTTCAATATTACTTATAACGTTAAATAAAATACCTTTCAAAACTTATTTTTTTTGTATCTACATCAAAACTAACAATAGGAGCAGACAGTCTACTAGCTATGGTATCATCTGATGGGCGCATCACCTCAAGACCCTGATCTAATGGTATCATTTGTATTTCTTCTACATATACCCTGTGTGCTTCATGATCTACCTCAAGAAATGTAGCTGATTGACCTGACGAAACCAAATATTATACACTTGATTAATTAATTTAAAATTATTTGAATAATCAAACAAAATCAACATTAATTAATTGTAAATTAAATAATACAAATAACTATTAAAATTAAGTATAAATAAGTAAAACCTTAGGTTTTAAATCTAAATTATAAGTTTAAAGGTAAGTAATATATAAGAAAATATACTACTTTTTTATTAAACAGCAACCTACATTTTCAATTAATAATAACCATAGGTTAGATCATTTGAATAGTCATATTTGTATCATTACCACTTGGTATGTTATTACTAGGGCCTGGATTTTTAAACAATAAAAATCTATAAAATATGCAGATTCATATCATAAATATGCAAAAAATATGCAAAGTGATTTTTTCTTACAAATTAACAATATACAATTAATAATAAACAATTTTTATACATAACAATGTATAAAAATTGTTTATAAAAAAAAAAAAAAATGCAAAATAATATTTTTAATGACATTGTGTAAGTATAAAAATATTGTAAATTATTATTACTGGACGAGTACCAGCATGAATTAATAAATAGGATTTCAAGTTTTCGAATTGAAAACTCTTACGATTATCTCGAAGCATACTTTTGTATTTGGAAAAACTTCTTTCCACGTCACAAGATACAATTGGTGCATATTTAACACTCGATAAATCTTCAACTGACAGTTCCTCGTTTTCACCACATCCAATTACTTCGCCGTTAATTAAACCATTAATTTTTTTCAATGCATAATATCCACGATTTTTTGACAACACATTTTTAAGTTTAGATCTAGCGAAATCTATCCCTGGCCCTCCTTCTTCGAATTTAATTTTAATATTTTCTATGAACAATAAACTATCTCTTAGAGTAAATTTGATTTCTCTAGTTTTGTTATTGTATCTATTAAACACTGAGAGTATGTTATAATGACGGCGAGCTCATTTTTTAACTCTTTATTATAAAATATCCAATATTAGTTGTTATTCGTCGGCCGTCGAAAACGATGATGTCGTTTGACGATCGTTTATTGATGTATAATGGGTTATTTACAATGGACAGTAGAAATCTTTACAGACGTAAATTCTACGAATTGTAGAATATGCAACATTTATGCAAATATCAAGAAATATGCAATAAATATACATTTTCATTCAAATATGCAAAAATATGCAAAACAAAAAAATTAACCCTAAACTCTACACATTACGAAACGTCAACATTTATAATCAAAATGCATGTAAGAAAATTATTCTAAGTGAATAGTAGAAGAATATGCATTTGTATAAAAATCCGAGCCCTAGTTATTACATATAGGATAAAAATAAAATAATAATACATCATATATATATAATAATGAAATTAAATTGAATAAATACAAAAATATAAAGGTAATTTTAAAATTATTTCTAAATAAAATTTAAATACAAGGTAATAATTGCCTAACTTCAAATGCAAAACAAACTTACTTAACTTTTACTAATTATGTAATATTTAAAATCAAAAGCTAAGAAAATTATAGTTTAGGAAAGTATGACATTTAAATTCTAGAAAATATCATAATTTGTTTTTATGAAAAATATAACCTTGGCTAAGTTGAAATATGAAAGTTCGTTTAGATTTGAAAAGTGTTGCAGCTGTAATATCATAACATTAATGATAGAAGCCATGCATAAAAATAAAAATAAATTATTAGTTACACTTACTTTGACCTAAAAATATATAACTTAAATTTCCACGTTCCCAATTACCCTGGTCAAAACCCAACAATGTTGTATCTATTCGTACTTTTGATCCCTGTTTGAATATTTTGTATGTATCACTTGGACACATTCTTGATACTAATGGAACTAAAAATAGAAAAATGTTTAAAAAATGTATAATAATAACCAACAATAAAAAAAACTAACCCCAACTAATGAACTCCCATTTCATTTCTACATAAAAATCAGGTGATTCTTCAAGTAATTTTAATAATTTAGAGACACATGTAGCACGATCAGAATGACGTTGATAATCCCTGTGTTCCATAACAATCTGGACCATTTCTGGATTTCCTGTAGCAATTGCTTCTTGCATAGCTATAAAAATAACAATGATAGTTAATGATAATATTAAATATAATTTGTTATTTTACCAGTCCATCCTTCATCATTTTTTACATTGACATTGGCGCCTTTTGTTATTAATAATAGAGTTGACTGAATATCATCTAAGGTTATAGCTAACATCAAAGGAGTACGACCTCTAGGATCTAGTTTTTCAAGTTGACTCTATAAACCATTAATACATTTAAGTTAATATTACTTATAGGTACTATTGATTTAAGTTTTTAATATATAATATGTCACTTAATGATATATATAAGTATTACAATTAAGTATAAGTAATATTATATTAAGTATTTATTAGTATTACTGTTAACTTGTTCTACTTGATTTGTACTTGTTATTCTTGGGCTTGCCTGTTTATATATTTAAAATAAAATAAAATAAAATATATACAATTATTATATTTATTATAAGATTTAGTAATTTTATCCGTGAATATAATACACAACTTTTACAATTTGATCATAAAATCAATATTTAATTTAAAAATAAGATATAAATAAATTAAATATTAAAAAAAAAACTAATTGGTATATATATATATATATGTTACATTAAACTTATAATACTGAAATATTTGATACAACAATATATAAATTAAATTGTAAATTGGGTAAAAGCTATTGGTTTAAAAATGTTATGATTATATTCTCTAAAAAATATTTTGTTTCAGCTTATTTATAGATTAAAAGTATATATATATATATATATATATTATAATGCTTTAAAGGTAGTATTTTTGAAATAGTAACTCAATAGTCACTTATAATAACAAATTAAACTAAAATGTTCTGCATTTTTATTGATGCAAACTTAGACCTGAAATTAAGGGAGTAAGACTTAAATTTTCAACTTGGATGATCAGAATATAAAAAAAAAAAAAAAAAATTCTTAAATTGATGTGAGTATCCTCAAAAACTCTTTCAATTGGTATGTCACTAGTTTTTATCAGAGGTGTATGCTGGAATATGACGAAAGTGACAAGATATGCTATAGAGAATTTAAACAACAATTGTTTTTGGTCAATGATGTGTGTTTTTTTCTATAGAGTTGGTAATTCATAATATGATGTAATGATTAAAGATCCAAAAGTTTGCTAATCTTATAGAACTTTCTAATGAGATGCTTTATATAAATAATAAAATAATATTTAAAAAAAAATGTTAGGACATATGATGAACCATAGCCAACATTTGTGTTAAAAATATATAATAATACACTACTTACTAAGAAAAAATATCCAAGAATCTACTTAGATATAAAATGAAAGTATCTTATTTATTTACTTCTTATTACATCAATATATCAACAATATAATCTAATAACAAGTAATTCAGAATAGTTAATTGTTGTTTTGTCATAGATTACAGAATGGTTAAAATCTATAAAAGATCATATAAATAAATAAAAATATTTAAAATATAATTTAATAATATTGATTATATTATTTAACTATAATAAATTATAAATAATGCATCTTATGGAACATTTACATAAGAATTTAACTTGTTCACAATTATGTTCATTTTTTTTTTTTTAAATTAACACATTAATGTCCAAGTTTTATATAAATATGAACGCGTTCATTTGGCCATTAATTTAAATTTTTTTATTTTAAATTCATCAACAACCTGCATTCTATATAAAGGGGACCATAGGCGTCCGGAGGAGGGAGAAGATGGGGAATTTCTCCCCCCTAGAAAAAATTAATTGAACGATTAATAACAAGTTTTGCAATTGAACAACTGCTAAGACTTCAGTTTTTATTTGATAACAATTAAAATGTGTACAATTCTGATATATTTTATTGTTTGCTAAGAATATATTTTTTTTAATATACTTTTTGGTGTTCGATTTAATTATGCCCCCCCCCCATGATAAATTTCCTGCGGTCACCCATGAAAGGAGACCTTTATAAAATGTATTGGGTACCTATATTTTACTTTATGTTTATAATCTATACTTAAACATATTATTATCAATATTTAATATTTGTATGTATATTTTTAAAATGGTAAATAAATTTGAATCCCGAAAATTTTTCAATTTCATTAAAAATATAAACGTCTTTCATGTTGTATTTGAAAAAAGCAAGTAATGTTCACACATGTAATTCACAAAATATGAACATGAACGGGCATTTACAAACGACATTCTTTTCATACACTAATGAATAAAAGACCAAAATAAATATTAAGTATCTTTCTAAGAGTTAAGAAGATAATATTAAAAAGTATAATATAAAGAATATATCTATTAAATTTTAAATGTAACATAACTATTGATTTACTATTTTAAAGAAGCCATTGCTATGTAATAATTTAATTAATTTAATTGTATTATAACATTTTACTTGTTTAAATGATAATAATGTTACTAATTATTGCCCTTTTCATAAATATATTTATATTTTGATTAAAATAATGATTTATGTATGTATATGTTTAGTTTTAATAAATAATCAGGAGTTCTCAAAAAAATAAATATTAATTTTTATTAATATTGTATTTATGTACTGCAGTTAACAAAATTACTACAACTTGAAACATCAATCAATATTTTAATTAGTTTAAAAATTAGATATTAGGCACTAAAACAACATACAATTTTAATAAAAAGATAAATAATCAATATTTCTAAAAAAAATTGTACCTATCTAAATTGAAATAAAATGAACTATGAAAACAAAATGTAAACTATAAATACAGATAAGATCAACATTTTTAAACTTAAATATAATAAAAAAAACCTTGTATTTTACCTGGCTAAATTTAAAAACCAAGTTGTTATAAGATTATTTATTTCAAGATTTAACCCTTCATTTTCTATTCCTCATTCTAAAAATAATTACTTTACTAATAGTCCAATGTACCGCCTACCAACATCATGTAATTTAATTCATAATTTTGATTTTTTTTTCGACTCATTAAATAAGTTAAAAAATTGTATTTATAATATAAACATTGATGTTTAATTTGATTTAATGGTAAACAATTTGTCTTAATTGTTAATTTAGCGATATTTAGTTACACTCATTGTATTCTTACCCTTTAGGGTGTTAAAATATTTATTTATTTGAATAAATATTATTATTATTATCAAAACCAATTCATAGTATAAAATTATTAAAAAAAAAACTTTTAGTACTTTAATAGATTTGTATGTAGGTATAATTAATAATTTCAAACAATTTAACTTAGATATAGATTCAGAATTTAAAATTTTTCAAAAATGCTATTTACTTGTATATTTCAAGTAGGTTTTTAAAACAATTTCAAATATATTATTTTTAAACTATCTCAATAATTTTTTAAACATAAAATGTTTTTATTTTTTAAATATGAAGGGGATAATAAATGTATTCGTTTTAAGGGTACCCACAATTGAATAAAAATGGGTTAGGTAAATAATTATTGAAAACGAAGTAATTTAATCAAATGAACACATATGAAAATCAATTTTTAACCCAATGTACGTCGGAAAATACGCTATGTTAGCATACCTGGCTAGAAGGGTCTCCGTTGGCATTAATCGAGTCCAGTTTCTCTTCCAATAATTTGTGTTCCCGCAACCATATAAGATAGTGTAGAGGGTAATCTACCCTTGCGCGTGCTTCCCATCGTCTTCCGGCACTTTCCGGTCGGTCATCGGACATGTCTACAACTACAGTTCCTGGTCACGCAGTGGCGTAGTTTTGCTATAATGGAACGACAAATTGGAGCAACTATTGAGGCGCTACTGGACTTCTATCAGCGCACATAAAGGAAGACGTATACCTAGATGCATATGCAATAATAAGGGCGGCTCACAGGGTCGGATTGAATACAACGTGAGCAGTGACGTCCGTCTGCTCTAACTAGAGTGCTACGCTTATAATGGGATGCAAGTGACTACCGTCTGCTAAAGTCGTCACTTAGGTAATCAAAAACTTTTCGGGTGTAATCTTTGTCAATAATAATAATAATAATAATAATATGTTCTGGCACTATGCCAGTGTGTTCCGCGTACGGTGTTAGTACATAAATGAGCGCGAAACACTGCTCGACAATCCACTGTTATCGGCTTATCGCTGCCGTCTACCTATAGTTGTAAACATAACGACAACAAACGAGCAGCTACACCGTAGCCCTACATACGCACCACCAGGAATGTACGAAATTACTTTGGTTTTTTAGTTTTAGCTAATATTACTCGATGTGTGCTAAATATACAATAATGAGCTATCACGGCTATCGTCAATTATGTAAAATGTTTTCTCTGCTCTGGCCGTGACATGGATATCGCCGATCGCAATCTCACTGTGTCTCGGTGCCCTAGAAAACGGCAATAATTAAATCAGTCTAGATTTTGATTGATAAAAATGGCTCTCGGACATGCCGTGGTTGTGTGGGAATGGGAAAACCGTAATGGCCGATGGAAACCACACAGCCCCGAAGTTGCCCAGTTGTTGGAAAGAGCTCATTTCAAGAAACTCACTCGAGTAATATTGAGAGATGCTGACCCAAATATGGAATCATCGTTTGTCAATTTACGCACTATGTACCAGTGTTCTGAAGAAAACGAAGGTAATACATTTTTTTGTTTACTACCGTTAAAACTCATCTAGTTTGTGGACTAATCATAATGATGATAACACTAGGTGCACTTCTGGCTGTACGAAGATCTTACTATCCAGCGAATGCATTACCTGGTAAAGGAGCAAGGTGGGAATGGGCTGGGGATATACCTGGAGAATGGCATACATATGATATGGAATCTCAGTGTTTTTTAGAAACTGCTTGGGCAATGGTAAGTTCCGTACAAGTTGATTTATTGACAATATCTTTATTTAGATTTTTTTTTAGGGGTGTCAAGTTATAGATGTAAGCAGGACGTATTTAGGTTTCCCTTACACAATTAATTTTTGCAATTTAACTCAAGTAAGAAACGACAGTGGGTATAAACGTAATATCAGACGTGTCAACCAAGCACCTTACCCACTTGTGAAAATACAGTCTGATGAAGTTATTCAATTTAATGGCAAGTTCTTGATGTTTCAAATCATTCAGTTCATTAAATTATTTATTTCTGATATTTTAGATAGGGCTGTTATTGATACTATAAGAAATTTATCTCTGAAAAATGAACCTATTAGAAAATCTAGTTCAGAATATATAGACACAATTACAAAAAAACAATTGCAATATAAGAAACACAAACAAGTAGGTCCTGACAATCATCATAGTGGTACCAATATAGCTCGAACTTTATTAAGCATATTTGGTATGTTGCTCTATTTATATTCTTAATTATTTCTCTTTAAAGTTTAGAATATTGAAAATAAACAACAATTTCTAAATATTTTCAGCAAACAAAAATCCTTCGTCGATGTCTAGAGAAGCTCAATGGCCAATAGGTACCACAGCAACTAAAAGCTATAGTGAATCAATTAAATCAGATTCATCTATAATAGATTTGGACTCTAGTAGTATTCAAAGTGGTAGACGTCCTAGTGTAGATACAGTTTCAACTTACTTAAGTCATGACAGTCATGAATTACGTACATCAAGAGTAATGTTTATAATATATTTTATTTCAATGTTTAATTGTATTAATTGTAATAAATTATTTTTGTTTTTAGTATGACCTTCTAGATTACTCTGGTGGTAGTATTGGAAGTGATGATGCATTTGAATATCAACAGAAATCAGATGATAGTAGTACTCAATCTGTAGTTGGTATGTTTTATTAGTATTCATTTACAGTGTACTAATTATTTAATATTTAAAATTCTTACAATTTAAAATATGTTGATTTGATGGATTACAAACATTTTACTAAAAAAATTTAAAAAATGTAACTGTCAACTTATATCAGCTTTCTTATTTATTTTAAAACTAAATACAGTAAATTTTAATCAATTTTTATGACACATTGAACTTTAAAAATTCACTATTTAATATATACAGTAGAACATTTTTTTTTTTTAATAATGCACATGTTCATTTTTTCCATTATTATTTGTACGTTATAATTTTGATAAAGAAGAACAATGATTAAGATTTTATTCAGTTTTATTAGTATTGTTTTATATTTATGCATTATAATTATATATTATTACCCTTTCAAACATAAATAATATTAAATTCCTTAAAAAAAAATTTTTGCTCAGAATATTGTTTAATTTTTAAATATTTTCAATATTTTCAGGAATAAATTCTGTAAGTGAAAAATTATCTCGCTATGTTCAAATAGTTGATGATTTTTGGCCAGGACTTGACTCATTATGTCCATTTTGTCAAAATCCACTGATATTATCTAATAATTCAAACAAAAGTTTAGTTATAGCTTTAAGCACTTGTCAACATCGAATGCATCTTACATGTCTAAACTCTGTTTTAAACAATCAACCACATTCTAATCAGGTTAAAATAATAAATTAATATCTTTAAAAAAATAAAATTCTACGTGTGTCAAAATATTTTAATTTGAAAAATGCTGTTTAGTGGATGTATATTCAATGCCCAGTTTGTTTGAAAGTCTACGGAGAAAAAAGAGGCAATCAACCCCCAGGTGCTATGAAATGGACATATTTAAATAGATCATTACCTGGATATGGTAGTACAAGAACTATTCAAATCACTTATGAGTAAGTATTTTGATGAAAACAATACTATTATTTATTATATCCATACAATTATTTTCAGAATATCTTCTGGAATTCAAGGTGAAGAACATCCACATCCTGGCCGTCCATATTATGCTCTTGGTTTTCCAAGAATATGTTATTTGCCAGATACGGAAAAGGGAAGACGTGTATTATCATTGTTAAGTAAGGCGTTTGAAAGACAATTAGTATTTACAGTTAGACTTTCAATGACAACTGGAAATGAAGATGTTGTTGCATGGAATAATATTATTCACAAAACTGATTTTGATACCAGAATGCATCATGGTTTTTTAGATGAATGTATTGAACAATTATCAGCACATGGTGTTGTTTAAATAAGTTTCAGAAGAAGAAAAAAAACTAATCTTTATTTTTATAAAAATGTCTTGTTAATATCCTCACTTGTTTAACTTAAATTTAACTTTTACAACTACTACTATTGTTATACCATTTTTTTTTTTTTATTAAACCTATTTTCTCATTCTCATAATCCTTCTAAGTATGTTTTATACTTTTATAGTTGAGTGAAGTTTGATAGAGCCTCATAAATTAAACATTCAAAGATAAATGATAAACTAATTTATTATTATATTTATGTGACTAATTTTTGAAACAAGATAAACTATCTTAATACTGCTTGACACTACTTCTGTTATTATTGTTTTATTTATAAATGATAAATAACTATGTACAATGCTAATAATTTATTTTATATTCTAGATGCCTTCAGTACTTTTATTAATATTTTTTAACAAATCTTAAAAAAAAAAAATTCCTTCTTGCAATCTTAGCTAATAAAGACATTTTTAAATTATTTGTTTAACATCAAAGAAGTCAATTACTAACTTTTTTACTATAAAAATAATTATAAATTAATAATAAATTAGTTTTTAGAGTTATATAATTATAAACAATTGCTAATAAATTACTTTGAATTATTAAAATATAATTGTAAAATATAATTTTATAATTGTTTACATCTTCAAAAATATAATTTTATTTTTTATTAGTGCAATGTTTTGAACATAATTTTCATAAAATAAACTATAGTTACTAAAATGTATACTTAATATAACATAAAAAATGTATGTAGACTAAAAACTTATTGATTGTATTACAAACTGTAGAAAATAGAGTAATTTATTTGTTGTTAATTTTTTTTTTGAGAAATTTGAATCAAATTGTTTTAAGAACTTATTTTTGATATAGATTATAAAAATTGCCATATTTTTTGTTTATAATTTTTTAATATAAACTTTAATATTTTAAAATAAATGTGTTACTTTTTATATTTATTAAATTATAACTTAAAAATTAATTTTGCTGTAGAAATTAAAAATTGATAATATTATCATGAGTAAATTATCTATGTACATTAATTCAGGGGCGTCTCCAGACCTTTGGTGTTCATCAATTGCACCAATTTTGGGACACTATCTGTATAATATACATCTATTGCGCTGATATAAAAAAAGTATAAATCAATAGCACTAGAGAATTTTTAACTACCTAACTGAAAAGCATATAGGTAAGTTCTTTACAAGAAAATTTATAATTTTGGTAAATAATAATTTCTTTATCACGTTCACTTAAAATTATTTCCAATTTATAAATATAGATATAAATTTAAGCAAGAGCCAAAACGACTATACGTACAATGCGTGGAATTATACTAATTAATTCTACAAAATTATTTTAAAAACATATAATATTTGTCCACATTTTGTTCTATCTTCAAATATTAAAATAATATTATGATAAAAAATAATGGTTTTCAAACGTACCTAAACAACAACGTATACCCATTTATTACCAAATGTACAATACAGATAATCTGTAAGTTCTAAAATCAGTGGTAATAATCAGAACCGTATTTAAGGGGGAGCTACAGGGTGCTGTTGCCCTGGGCAGCTGAATATGAGAGGGCGGCTAATTTTTTTATATTTTCAATAATTATCTAATATTTTTGAAGTGAAACTTCTTTACAAAATAAAAAGTGTATCTCAAAAAAAAATATAAATCGCCAATCACGGCGTCATGGCACACACACATCTCGGTAACGGTCGAGTACTGTCGATAAATCCAAAGATTTACAAACCATCTATTTTTATATTGACATTACACTTAGAATGTTTTTGTGTTTTAATTAACCGAAGTGCGAAATTATCGACGGCCGTTATCGTCTGTCCTGTGGTGCCGCGGTACGTGGGTTTGCGGCGGACAGTAGCCGTTTGGTCAGGTCGATCCAGAGGGCAACGTCAGCTTGGGTGTTTTGGTCGTGGTCAACCGATCAGGTCGTGCCTTTTATTGTATTATTGCCAATATTACACTTTGGTATTAATTATCATTAATTATTCTATTATTGCCCATACGGCACCTCGTTTTATTGTTATACTTATATATTTTATATTACCACTATTATTATTATTATTATTATTATTTTCCACAACCTTTGGGCGCCCGTTCCCCAACATTGTATGATTTATTGTTTTTTACAAATAATAGTACGGCGGTGCCTTTTGGTCCGTTATCGTTCTATATTATATTGCCTTTTATTTTCTTGTATTAATATTTAAGTGGTCACCTATTCCCGACATCAGAGACTTTGGTAAAACAATTAGGTACATTATTTTTAAAATTAATTTTGCTAAAATATTTTGCCGCTCCTGAGACTTAACACTCCTGGGAATATGCCTACCCGTGCCCCCCCCCCACTTTAAATACGGGCCTGTTGACAACTGACAAGACATGATAGTCACGGACTAAGATATTTATTAATATTTTTTTTCATTATTCTTTAATACGAGTACTTTATTGAATAAACAAACTAAAATTATTATATAGTATAGTATTACTGATATTATATATATTATTATATAGTATTACAGATATGTTTAAAATTTGACGTTTTCAAATATTTTTTTTTTTTTTGGGGGAGAGGGAACCCCCAGCCCCCCCCCATAAATACGCCACTGTATGCACCAGACCTTGGCTATGGAAAGAGGGCAAAATAATAAAACAATTAATAATTATTTACATGAGATTCAGATACAGATTGTAGAACCATTATTTTTCATCTTTTGGAACTTAAGGCTAGTCTCCTCCATAAAATATTTGAGTTACTGAAATTCTACATCATCAGGGGCGTATTTAGACTTACTTCTAGGGTAGGAGCTCAAATTTTTTCTTTAATTCAGGCTCAAAATTTACAAGTTAAATTTTTGGTAATATTTAAATCAGGTGAATCCTTAATATTTGTGGTTTTTTTTTTTAAACTACTAATGCCGGATCTATTTAGAATCGACTTTTGTGTAGTTCATTTTTAACTCCTGTTTGTGTTTTTAAAGTTACGCTTGTATTTTATTTGATTTTTCACTTAGTATGGGCAGTAAGTATCGTTATAAAATGATCTACATTAAAAAAATTGAAATGTGTATCTCACATATGATCGATTCCTTAAAGACGGATTCAAGGGGGGGGGGGGCGATCGCCTCCTTCGTCCTCCTAAAATACGCCTCTGTTCATCATTAAAAACAAATCATAGTACCTATAAAAATGTATTTTATTGGTTTATATAACCAAAATCTCTACATCATTTGTTCTTAACTAAACGATCTATTATTTTTTCAACATTTAACGCAATCTGCCTATGAATATGTAAAAGCGCCAAACCTACTAATTTACTTTGGCCCATTTCAATTTTTATCCAAGAATTTTTCTATAATTTTATTGTATACACTGTGCCATAAAATCTGAGTGTGCAAAAGGTGCATTGCACACAGGCCTCGAACCTCGAATTATATACTATGGGGCCACAAAATACAAAAAAAATGTCAAGTAATTTAATATACATTATAAAATTGGCTAATTACTATGTAAGGCAGTCCATCTTGTGAGGGGATGATAACCCTCATTACCCTTCACACATAAGGTTGCCACTGCATAAATTTAATGTACTATTAAATTATTACATTTAATAAAAATCAGCATTGAAGTTATTATTCAACAGGGACATATCTAGGAGGTTTAGGGTATTCAAACCTTCTCCAAATTTTAACGATCTTAGAAAAAAAAATATCGCTTAATATTTTTATAAAATTTAAGTTTAATATTATTTAGATGAATCAACAATGGGTTATAACCCATTGTTGATTTACCTAGTACTATAAAATAATTAATATAATAATTTATCTTGTGAAATAAATACATTTGAAGTACGTCGTAGTAAAAATATTAAGTCTCCAAAAAAACGTATAAATACACACCTGACAAATAATATAGTAAGATTGCTACTATATAACTTGCCACTTATCCTATCATTCAATCCACAACTGATATTAACAGTTAAATACATTTGTTTGGTAGTATTAAATATTAATTGTTGTCTACTGTTAATACTTATCATAAATTAATATATATATATATATATATATATATATACATGTTATAAACTATTATTTATATTATCTACTATAATAAATTTCTATTCAACTATATGTCTGCGTGGAGAAAAATAATGAAAACTGAGACTTGAGCCCCTTCAAATATTTTTTTCGCAATTAAATATTGATAATTTAATAGATAAATATTCAAAATAAAATAATTATATTTATATTTGAAAAGTTTATGACTTAATTGATTTCAATTGTAATTGTTTATAAAAATAATTTCTTGTATTAAAATAATATGTATTTTTTACAAAACTATTTTTATTACTTTTATATTAATTTTAGTTATATACATTATTATAATACATAACTCAATGATTGCTCAATTATTGGCCTGCCAGATTCAGATTTAGTGCTCTGTGAATCTATACGACTATGCATATCATCTTATTGAGTAAAAAATAAAAAATTAAAAAAAATACATAATAATAACTTTAATTTACATACTAAGTTAAATAGACTAATAAAAGACAATTTGTCGCTGTGTACAACATTTTTCTCGTTTTGTATAGAATTCAATAATAATTTATAAATATTTATCTGATTTTAAAAACAGTAATGTATACTAATGCAACTCTCCAGAACAGTTACATCAGCCATAATAATGTACTCGTAAAACATAATGACGATAACAATATCCGTATTTTCTAATTTGTTGTACTGAAATTAGTCATCACTAAAATTTAGTCACGCCCGTGTGAATCCGTAGCTTGTGCCCACCACTATCTGAATTTCATCATCATTGAGTTCTATCCGGTTCACAGGTTCACAATTCTATTTGATAATTTTCAGCGCCGTTGTTTTACTATAGCCTGTAATTATGTTTGTCACATTATATCGATTGATCGAATGATTGCGATAGTACCGCACTCCCCACTAAATACATGAGTTATATTTCTACGTTTAAATATTTTATTTGCTAC